AGCTGCATTTCCATTCACTTGTACGGCGACATCATGAAAATCAAGGCTTGATTTTGAAAAGCAAATAGCGAGACAAGCGGACAGTAAATTGCTGGCGGCGTTTCTGAAGCACTGTAATCGTGAGTTGTTTGTGCACAATTGTTTTTCTGTGTCACTTGCATTGTCGCTTTGGTATTCAAAATATTCAATGTCATCTTCACCTCGGGCAGGACAAGAGAGATTTGTATGGATAGAAGAATGTTTCCTCTGGGCCAATATGATAATGAAGAATTGGAAAATTACCTTACGGTTCCGCTACAAATCTGTGGAGTTTTTTTGAGTGAAAGCAACATATGACAACGGCCTTGAAATAATCCTGCACGTCGCTTTAAGTGACACGTGTTTATGCATTATAATAATAGACCTGATAATGTGGTCACAATAACAAGGTACGATGGAATGTATCTTTTACATAATATCTTCCTTATGTGGAGGTGTGCATTTGTTGAGTGTGAATCTGTCTGTCTGGTCACTGATGTAGCTCCACCATGGATGATCATAATACTTTAAAGCTAGGGTACCTAAATTTCAAAAAAACAGATAACAATAGTATTAATACATCGGCTTTACACAGCGCCTTTCAGGCCGTTCAAAAACGTTTCACATGTCATTATTCATTCACTTCATACATGGTGGTGATAAACTACTATAGCCGCAGCTGCCCTGGGGCACCTGGACAGAAGTAAGTGCACCGGTATGTGCCATTAGCCCCTCCCACCACCGCCAACCATTCACACACACACCACACTCATTCTAAGCAACGCTCTAAAGGCAGTTTGTTGCTATTGTTAGTTTTCACATGTGTGTTTTTGGCCTTTGTCACATTCTCTGGAGAGGACCACCCTCACTCATCTAATCAACTCTCTGCCCAACTGTGCCAACTATGTTTTCTAATAACACAAACAGCATGCTGTGGTCTATTTTGGTGACAAAATGTTGGATCAAAACACATATTTAGTGTTAACTGTATATGTGAACTAGATTATAGATGATGTGATTCATGCTTTTGTGTTGTTTCCATTAAACAGAAACAGGGATTATAGCCTCCGCTGTCTCATTAAGCATATCCAAATAAGTTTATTTCCTGATTTACAGTATATTCTCTTGGCTAAAGGAAGCCAGAGCAGAGATGAGGACAGAAACTAATATTACAAGACAGGATTGCAGCATTCTCAATGTAGCACTAGACATGATGTTTATGGACTTATCATGACAAGGCACTGGGACCAAGTGTGTTTAGCCTAAAACGCAGAATAAAAATCAGATCTTATTATACATTTGTTTATCTAATCATGCAACAAACCGACACTACCAATGATAAAACAATCTATTTTTCTCCTTTATTATGATAAATCTTGTCTCTCAATATTGACAATGTAATGGATGAAAGACATTGATTTAGCCACATGTTCTAACCTTTTATGATTCATACATATTGCAATATCTTATTCCAAGTGTCCAGTTCAATGGATAAAGCACCATGAAGGCATTGACAAGTGTTATAATAATAGATATTTGTTGGAGGAATGGAAGAGAATATTGGAATTGCCATTGAAGTTGAATAGTTTGATCGATAGTCTTTGGAAATGTAGTGTGCTACTTCATCACAGGGCGAGGGAGGGCTTCTCCAACACATTAGTACTTAGAAAGCATGGACACCGGGGACAATGGGATGTGGGTAGAATGTAACAATGGAGATCCAACAAACAAATCCAAGCACATGGGCCAAAGATGCAACGGAAGGGCGGGAGGCAGAGCTTTGGTAATCAGGCGTCAGAGCAGAGGAGAAAGGAGAAGAAATAACACAGACAAGAAAAAACAGAGGTCAAGATCAGTGAGCATCAGGCACTGGGCAGAAGCAGCAGAAGCAGCAGACGCAGCAGAAGCAGCAGAAGCAGCAGACGCAGCAGAAGCAGCAGAAGCAGCAGAAGCAGCAGAAGCAGCAGACGCAGCAGCAGGGAGAGGCCAGATGAGGAGTGTGGAGATCTCTCATTACCGGCTTCTTTCTACTGTTGCGCTGTAACTAAAGTGTACTAAAATATTGGTTCATGGTTTGATAAGGTTAGCTCCATCCATTGCAGTAAATGCATCACGTGAATACAAATGTGTGAAAATCATTACTTTGTGTGCCTTATAGTTTTAAAAAAAAAATCACTCATTCGATCCATCTTTATTTTTAGAGTGTTTTTCACACACAGGGAAACACACAGCGCTTCACAGTCCATACCACACAAAACACAAATTATCACATAAAACAAACATCAAAATCACCTTTAAAAAAATTAAATCACACAGGTCATAAACAACATTAAAACATTAAAATTGCACAAGGGATTGCAATAATAAATAGTGCATTAAAATGAGTAGACTAAAATAGCAATACTGTGTTATCACTGTCATTGTAAAATTATCAAAAATATAACTATAATATGATATAAATAAATATAAATTTAATATATGACATAAATGTAAACAAAATATTTATGTTTATTATTCTAAGTATGTATGTATGGAAGCTCTATTTTTATAGCATCAGACAGTTTTGTGAAAAAGGAAGCTACTTTAGCTCCCCTGACAGACGACCAGTAGTAGTAGGCTACCAATCAGGGCCCACTGATGAATCAGTGTGAATTATTATTCTCAATATTATTTGGTTGAAGCAAGACAATGTTGATAAAAAGGCCAAACTGTGTGCTATTTAAAAAAAGAAACAACATTGTAGTCAGTAGTGTGGAATATGTTTAACAATGTATGGTAACAGCGGTCATGTGATTACTTTCAAGTCAATTCTTGAGTCAAGTCATCAAGAATTATGAACCTCTTCTAGAAAAGTTTGGTCAATGTCCTGAGTTGACTTTGTATGAAGGGCCATCCACCACAGTCTGGCAGTTGGTTGTGATTGGGACATTAGCGCCGTGGTTAGCGGTATAAAAGCTCATAGCTGGTGTCAGATGTGCTGATGCTGTTCCTCCGGTGATAAGGACAGATGGACAGGGCAGCTCGTCCGTGGAGAGGGGACATCATAGCTCACGGTTAGGACACATAGACTGTGGTCACGTCCCATTGACCACTGCTACACCAAAGCAAAGCATTAGACTGTGGCGAGGGAGGCCTCCGTTTTCAGCCAACCTCTGCTGAAGAATAATTCCAGAATCACAATTTTAGGACCCATTATCTATTTTGAATTAATCTGATCCTAAATATTCATCATAATGCAGGATGATTGATGCACATCTTTCACCAAGAAGCACCAGCACAGCTCCTCTGGTTTCTCAAACCATAAAAGTTCAATGTGGCATGTACTGTATGCACTTGATTTTGGAAAGACTGAAAGAATGCACAGAACTATGTTTATGGAGTAACTTTGCATGAATTAAATTAGTTTTTGCTAGTTGATTGCCACTTCCCAGCAGGCATGTAGAATGGAATTATATTTATCGACGCGCTGTATACTGGTACGTGGCATGTTGTAGTGTGGTTTATTGCTTTGACCCTGGCAGATATGGTGCATGTCATATTCAAGATTGAAGTCGAATAGAGATATGAAAATGAAATTCCCCTGGCGTCTAGACCCTGGTGGAAATATGAACATTGCAATGTGTGAGAGACCGTAAGCAGGTCCCAGTGAGACCCAGCTCTTTAAGAAATGGAATGCATATAGTGTATAGAACATTAATGATACCAAGCGTAGATAATGATCCAAACTGCCTGGTCAAGGTGCGAGCGTGTCTGCCAAAAACACGTAGAACCACCTTTGTGCATTGCTACAGACATTAAACTTTACATTTCTCAATCTAAAGTAATAACACTTTACAGCCTAGAGATGAGCAAACGCTATGGAGAAGAACGTCCCATTGTTGAGGTGGTGATGAGGAGGAGGAAGGTTTCTGCACAAGCTGAATCTGTTGGATCCAATATAGTGTTAAATGCAGACCGAGAGGCCTCAAGACGTGTGAAGTAATGGAAGAGGTCTGGAGTGAAAGTGGCGGAGACGGTGCCTTTCAGGGGAAGCGTCGGGGAAATAATGAATTGGGTTCCACCTTGCATTTGTAGGTTCAATTGCAGTATTTTGTATCGTAAGTCTCTTTCTCCTTCTCTCCAAATCACTGGCTCCAGGGCGTCAGAATCTGTGTGCATTGTTTGGAGAGTGGCCGGCAGTGTTGACAGCCTCTGATGTGGATGTATTTACATAGTGAGTGCTGACAGCAAGGCGCTCGTACCTGATTGACTGGATGCGTCAGACACTTTGGCTGCTTAACCCGGGTGGGACGCGGCGCTTGCTTGCTCACTCGATCAAACGTCTAAAATGAGACGAGAAGACCTTTCCTCATCTTGGCTGACATTGGTGGCTTGGCAAGCTGGGGGCAGGTGAAGTAGAGAAGACGACTTTATTTTCTACCTGATATTCTGTACTTTGGCATGGCATGTGGGAACATTTTGAATAGCATTTTTTTTTAAAGATTTATGAGATTGATTGATTGATGACAGTGGATTAGACCTTACTGCATTTTTTATTGTAACATGTTTAATATACACAAGTTTCTTAATATATTTTGGCCAAATATCAACAACACTATTTTATAAAAGTGTAATGTTACTATTCCAACCCAAAATAATCTTCTTGGTTTACTCTGGTTTTAGCATCCCCCATTAAAGCTGGGGTGCGCAACATTCATACCACAACTGAACTAAAATCCATCTAACTAGTGCCTTACCCACTTTCTGAGACTAATACATGCATCATTCATCATCACTAGGTTTCACACGGATTATTGGCTTTCAGCTTTTTTCAGACAGAAAAGTGTAAAATAATGACTCACAGGGCTTCTATGATACCCAAGAAAAAATATGGAAATTATGGAAAGTCCAGATAAAAGAAAGCTGAGCCGATGACACGGTGCAGGGACTGAGAGGCTCTGTTTAAATGCAGCTGATAGTTATTGCTGATGAGCACAGGTGTGATGAGCACAGGTACAGGTGTGTGACTGAGGCTGAGAGTGGTGAGCACAGGTACAGGTGTGTCGCAGAGGGAGGACACATGCAGATGAGGTTTTTCACAACATTGTGCCTGTGCAAAACTCATATTCACCAAAGTTATTACATTGAATTAAAGCTCAATTTATTTCGTATACATAGGTTTTATCTTAAGGCTTTTTCACTGATCTTTAGCCAATGAATACAAGACACTTTTGATTTATTGACACGCGATCTGTATAATGTGGACAGCGGCTGGATTTTTGTAGGAAAACTCCAGTCGAATTGTAAATTGTTTCTGTGGGTACTTTTGTTTTTTGGAGTGTTCCCAGCTGTAAAAACAAATGTTCCCGCTGCTGTAAGCCAGTGGCGACATGCAATCGTCCATCCTCTCGTTCTTATTCTCTCTTCGGGGAGCAGCTGTAAAGTCTCCTTCTTATTAATGACACACATGTCCACAAAACTGCAGCTGCTGGACTTGTACTTTCTATTGAGCTGTCGTGTATATTTTAAGTCTATTTTGGTAACTTTTTGTGTCTGGTTTATTCTGGGTTGATGAGATACAGATGATCCATTCTTCCGTTTTGAATACAGCAATCATGTCTCTGAATATTATTATTGATTATTGACTAAAAACATTATTACATCTGCCTAGGTTATTAGTCTCTGTCAATATAACAGATTACAGAAGATTTCCAGTGAAAAAGCGTTTTATTACCTACATTTTAATTACAATAAATCAACATGACTAATATAACTGTACCCCACCATTCAAGCTGGTGTACACACATTGGAAAACCACACAAATTCCAATCCATATGCACTCCAACACTTTGGTATTTTTTTAGGTTATATATATATATATTTAATCACACAACATACAAGATTTTATTTTGGGGCCTAAAAGTTCTACACTTTCCTTTTTTTGGGGACATAACAGCAGCCTTAATCCTCCAACACTGGCATTTCATCAGGTCAGAATCATCCCCCGTCCAAATGTGTCTGTGTCTCTCTTTGAGCGAGTCAAGCCTTGTGCTCCCCTTGGGTAAAAATGACCCGCCACAGCAATTAAAAAAATACTCTAATTTAGGGTTTATTTCTTCTTCTTTCAATAATCTGTGGTGGGTCTTTTTGACCCAAGGGTGGCACAAGGTACAGATAAGACACTTTAAAGTTATTACCTTAGTTACCGATTCTCTGACACAGAAAAACCAAACAATCTAAGAAGACAAGATTAACCTAAAGAAAACATACAGACTCTCATCCCCTCTTCTCCCCTCTGCTCTCTTCTCCACCTCTGCTCTCCTCTTCGCTCCTCTTTCCTCTTCTCTCCTCTTTCCTCCTTTCCCCTCTTCAGTCTCCTCTTCTTTCCTCTTCTCTCCTTTTCTCTCCTCTTCTCTCCTCCAGTCTCCTCTTCCCCCCCTCTGCTCTCCTCTTCGCTCCTCTTTCCTCCTCTCCCCTCTTCAGTCTTCTCTCCTCTTCAGTCTCCTACTCTATCCTCTTCAGTCTCCTCTGCTCTCCTCTTCAGTTTCCTACTCTATCCTCTTCAGTCTCTTCAGTCTCCTCTTCTCTACTCCTCTCTCCTCTTCTCTCCTCTTCAGTCTCCTCTCTCCTCTTCAGTATCCTCTTCTCCCTCCTCTCTCCTCAGTCTCCTCTGCTCCTCTTCAGTCTCCTCTTCTCTCCTCTTCAGTCTCCTCTCTCCTCTTCAGTATCCTCTTCTCCCTCCTCTCTCCTCTGTCTCTTCTCTTCAGTCTCCTCCTCTCTCCTCTTCAGTCTCCTCTTCTCTCCTCTTCAGTCTCCTCTTCTCTCCTCTTCCCTCTCTCCTCTTCAGTATCCTCTTCTCTCCTCCTCTGTCCTCCTCTCTCCTCTCTGTGCGCACACATGGACACGCATTTGCCTTGTGAGCTACCCCCCCCTAGTGCCGAGCGCGTCTCCTCCGCGGTCCAGACGCACGCTGTTTCACTCCGCGCACAGCAGCGGCAGCAGCATCCGTGTGCGCTCCCCAAGTCCTGCCTTACTTCACCGGAGACGTCGCAGCCTTCCTGAGAAAGCGCCAAAGTTGTCACGAGAAGTACACGTCGGACTGCGTGCTTGTGACTTGGCTTGGCGTGGAGAGGAAGGAGAAAAGGGATATGGATACTAGGTTGTTCCGCTGTCCAGAAATACATCTCTCCAAACGGGACCCGATGTAACGCGCTGGAGCGGAGATACCCAGCTATTCTTTTGTCTACGTGGGAATAAATCGTCCCTAAATGCAGCAGATATGAGTTTTGTCAACACCAATTCCCTCGTTCCACTTTTTCTGGGGATTGTCATGGTTGGATTCGGCGACTGCAATCAAGGTAAGCACAGCCCGCATTGTGCCAGGGTCCATTTGCGCTCAGTGAATGTTTTACGCAGTTAACTATTAGTGCCAACGCGTGCCATGCTGTTGCAGTCAATAAAGCCGCACAACCTCATTATACAAACTCGTTGAGCGCATTTTTTGTTCCAGGAGAGAAGCGGTGATGCGAACGCGCTACTGCAGCAAGTTTCGCATTGACTTCCTCCGATGTGATGATGATGAGGGGTCAAGTTGAAGCCTCATCATTTTTACTGCATCCAGCCTGAGGTGCTGATTTTAGGAAGGATTTGAAATGTCTTTTTTTCGTTATAGGGGAATTAAATACTCAGTGGAATTAACTTTGGCAACGTCTATGGGGTTTAGAAAAGACAAGCCCAGGGCAAAGTGTGCACAACAGATAAATACATCTACTGTGGTTATCTCTGTAAAGGACGTAACTAACTTTCCGCTCTACGTCTACCTTCTCTTTTGTTCCTTTATTTTGACTTGAGACACTTGTAATTTCTTTCCAAAATAATCATTGTTGGGGACAATAGGGACAATTTCTTTCTACACAATTTATATTATTATGAGAGTTGCTTTCAGTTGACATTTGTGCTTCCATTAATACTCTTAAGATATGGATTTGTTACAGCCTCCAACTGTTTCTGGCTTTAAGTGTTTGTGGTATGTGGAAAAGAAGAGAAAAAAATCACTGAAAGACAATGGACAATAGACACATAACAAAACATGTACTACTTGTTATGTCTTTTATGGTGGTGCTGGAATGAGCCTAATCATATCGTATGGTGGTAAGTGTTCAAAGAAAACACTGGTGATTATGATCAATATTCCTGATCTGCTCTGTCTGCCACTTTGCCATGGCAACAAAAGTTAACAACAGTAATTCCGTTGGCCACTTAGGACATCCATGTGATCACAATCCTTTGGGGCATCGCATCCCCCTTGTAAAACACGCAGGTGCACAGCTCATGGAGTTTAAAATAGCCGTGTATCGATCGCAGAGGGACACAGTGGGATGTGCCCCCCCAGGTCGTGTTTTATTGTTCTGTTGGAGAGTTCAATAAGAGCCGCACTCCTCCTGCTCGCTCAGACAAACGCTGCACAACCTTCTCACTCCTGGTTTTCCCTCGTCCATAGATGGGATGATTGAACTGATGTCTGCTTTCTATTGTGCTAAAGTCGCTCATATCGACAGGTCCGGGACGGCGGTACAACTGCGGGGCAGCTTAGAGAAGATGAGGCCAGATAATAACTCAGATGACAAGAGAAAAGTGCTTTGTTATATAAGGCGCGTTTACTGTAGATGGATGAAGTCAAGCTGGTGTTTGTATTTATCAAGTCCTTTTGCAAGAGATAACGTTTTCATCATTCTTATTTGAGGGAATAAAAAGTTGTTGTTTTCTATTTTTGCGAAGGCGAGACAGGGAATGTGATCTGATACGCTTTTGAGGCTTAGAACAGATAAGGCACACTTTAAGATAAGGGATTTAACTGAAGGAAGCAATTCTTATTTTTGTTCTGTTGAGTGACTTGTTTATAGCTTGTCATTTCAACCGAAGGAACTGGAGAAGAAGGATGAACGATATTGAAAGTTGAAGTTTTGAGATGGCTTTCATTAGATGGCTTTGCATACAATCAGAATTGCCCATTTTCTACATATTGCAGCTCCATTGACGCAAGGACACGTTTTTTTCTCTGTAGATGGCATAATATAGATCCTGCAACTTTAGTTTGAAGACTTCTGTAAATGCAAAACTGTGCATTCAAAGTTCAACGGTGAAATGATGAAATATTAAGATAATAACTCAAAAAAGTAATTATCTAACTCATAAAAGTATAAGGATTCCTTTCTTATACTTTTTCAAATGAACCATGCTTTTCTTGTTTTATGAAAAGTGGCTGATGTTGGTGAATCGCTGCTGTTTTGTGTTGGATTTTTCCCCGGGTTTAAGGCGTTTTAACAATTTATGACTTCAGCCTGAACCCCGAGTACAGTCATGAGTACAGCTTGTATTACCGTGTTGTATACATGTTAGACTGTGTCACCAAACAAACTCATATTCTAAGAAATGCTGAAAATATTGTCTTTACTTTAACTACAATTGCCACTGATAACAATTCAATTTAAACTGATATTTTTGCCGTATATCTAAGCAAACATTTGATGAGTTCCCACATCCCATTTTTGTAGATTAAGCTGCTGTGCTTTCATCCAAATACTTCACAAAACTTGTTTACTGCTCCTATTTCCTTTGCCCTTGTGGAGATTTTCCAACCAGAAGATTGCTCTGTAATTCAAAAGATGCTGTCTTTGTTCACCACTTCTGAAACAGTTGGAATTGATTTTTCCCTCCTCCTGCCCTGACAGTGAAACTCGGGCATTAGAAGTCAAGAATACAAGCCGTTGGAAAAAATAAATGAGTCTGAGGAACGTCCAATCATATCAGTTAAAGCCTGCGCCGGCATCTTAGTCAAGTCGGCAGCTAGTTAGTGCCACATGAAAGAGCGGCATCGCCTGCAGTTGGGCTTCGGAGACCGTGGAGGACTTAGGCATGGCTCTCTATCACAGCTCCATGCCATCAAAGAGCATCTGGGCACAAAAGCATTGAGATCTCCATCATCACTGTCTGAAGTAGATATTCAGCAGCCGTGTGCTGTCAGGAAAAATCAATCAGAGCGGTCCGAAGCCTGAGCGGGGATGACAGCACTGCTTCTCTGCATCATGAGCCATCTCTGTGTGCCTCAGGTCTTTTAGTTTTACTACAATAAAACCTGATTTAGACAATTTGCTGATTTTAAAAGTGCATGTGTCCGTTCTGTCCTAGGGCATGTGTACGCTCTGTCCTTGGGCTGTAGACGTACACATCACGGTAAATGTGTTTGTGGAGATGAGTTCTTAAATGGAAATAGTCTGTATTTATGTTTGTTTGCATTTAATTGGGTTGAAAACGTCAAAAATACTTCTCATTGTTACTTATTGGAAATAGAAATGGATGTTCTTTTGAATAATACGTTGTGGAATTTATTATTCTATGCAGATTGGAAGTATATAACAAAAAAATTATTATATCAATAGTTTATTCAAGTTTTGGTCAAACTCACAAATGATGAAAACAGAGAAAATATCTATAATACACTTTCTTCCACTTAATCTGTAGCTGAGTTCCGGTGGCAGCAGTTAAGACAATTCTAAGACGTTTCCAGCAAGTCATGAGAGAAGGCTTTTTTCATAACCAACTTCTCTTTCTACGGACAGAACACTTCGTCAGAGCTGACGTGCGAGTGATAGCGTGTGTATCACCTGACCAGACCAGACCAAGCGTATTCATTTTCTGTAAAACTGTGATTCGACTGAGGAAGGTGTGTTCCAAAGCCACAGCTCTGGGCCTCTTCTGAAGGAGACCTCAGAGAGTCATAAGTGGAAGTGCGGCAGGAGAAGGACTCTGTTTGGAAACGGGCCTTTGTGCCTCCAGCCTTTTCGCCTCCAGCCTCGTGTCCTGCATCTTCCCAAGGAGATAGTCATCTATACACACTTCTGTTTATAATCTCACTCACTCCTAACTCTGCTGCTCATAAACGTTGTAAGCAGTAGTTAGCACGAGCCTAACAAGGCCAAACATGTTATTTCCTGCGGTGTATTAGCATTACCAATGTAATAGAAGTCTGTCCCATTGGTTCAATTAAGATTTTTTTTCTATGAGTAAAATGTTGAGTATTCGTTCGCCTCATCTTTGTAAATCTTGTGAAGGCTTTCTGCTTGCTCACCTTGTTCAAAGACGCCCTGTGACGATGGTAATGACTGTTCAGTGCAAAGAATGACAGCCATGAGCTCACAGTATCTGCGCCGAAATCTCATCAGAAAGTAATTACACAGGGAGAATAAGGTGACCAATGACTGATATTTAATTTAATCCTTTGATGTATTTAAATGAGCTGTGGAAACTAAGAAGGCAGGAAGTTAAAACTAGCTATTACTGGTTTTTCAATACCATACTGATATTTTCCCATCTTCAAAACTATTGTAAAATTGGTTGTATATATTAAAACTGCTGGTTTTCATTTATGTTTTGTTATGTACAAGATATAATCTGCTGTCTCTAGAATGATGCAAAGTATAGAGTTTAATAATCATAACAATTATAATCATTTAATCAATCGCTCCCTCCCCACCAGAAATCTTGCTAAAATGAAAAAGCAATGATGACAAAGGCATTATAAAATAGAATAGAATATACAGTATTACCTTCACAGCTTTACTCTCACATTTCAGGTGAAAATATCCAGTGCCTGTGTACGAAATCCTGCAGACAGACACACACATACAGGCCATCACATGACCCCTCAGCTTTAATAAACCCTGAATTGTAAATATCCAAATCTCAGTCATTTAGCAGCTGACCTTACGGAGGGTCTGATGGAGCTCTGTTGGCGCTCTGACTCGGTGGTTAAAGACTGAGTCACGCCTGTCAGCTTCTCTCTGATACAGATAGCTTTCAATTTCACAGCACATTTTCAGCGCGTCTGTTTACCCGGCCTGCTTTGTTTACAATGTTAAATGATAATGTATTCACTCAGAGCAATGCTAAAATCATTATCCAATATCAGAGGTGCTTAATTTGACATCCAAAACACTGCTGTGCTCCAGTTGTGTTGGTGTTGCTGCTTCCTGCTTCTGGACAGAGCAGTCGCATTCTCTTGCTGCTCCTCGCTTGCTGCTTTTTTATCTCCTTTAATCATTTTTGCTTACATTTTTATTCCACAAAACACGGATTACTCCTTTTTACAAACTTCAACACAAGACTTGTGGAATTTACCTAACTTACAGCATGTCGGGAGGACGGGAAAGAACAAAACTTTGCGACGGCTGTTTTTCACTCAAACAGGAGCTAAAACTTCTTCAAGACCGAATGTTTGTACTTGAATCAGAATTGGGGCTGAACACAACAATACCAGTGAAAGGAAATGGACCACATGGACAGAACGTAAGTTATGATGACGCTATTTCATTTCCCAAAATCAACAGAGACAATTGTTGGAACACATATGGTGCCAAGCCCAAACAAGGCAAAGCTAATGATAACAAGAGTGTCATAATGCCACAGCAAAAATCTTTAATTACAAGAAACTGCTTTTCACCACTTTTGGAAGATGAATCAGCAGTAGTCTCTACAACAAAGCTGCTAAAAACTGCAGCGCCTCCACCAAGGACAAACTGTGTCCTTATCGGAGATGGCTCGGTGAAAAATGTAAACATGGAGTCCATGCTCACTGTCTCAGTTCACTCTGCTAAAGTTGCTGAGATAAGAACTCTCCTGCCTAAAGTGTTATCTGAGAACAGTGGTGTGCGTACATTATTGATCCACACGGGGGCGGTAGATATCTATGAGAAGGCAAGCGAGAAGTTACGAATGGATTTAACGCTGTTACTGGATGACCTCAAGAAAATGGACATAACAATTTTTCTTAGTGGCCCACTGCCAAATATAGATGGAAAAATGGAGAAGTTTAGCCGTCTGTATCAGCTAAACACATTCCTACTCAATGAGTGTTCACGCAGAGGACTTGGCTTCATTGAAAACTTTAATCTGTTCTGGAATAGGCACGAGCTTTTTGAAGAAAAAGGCCCACATCTGAACAACTACGGAGTAAAAGTGCTGATGGATAACTTTGCATCTGCCCTAAGACCTCAGCCTGCGCAGCGCGTGCAGCCGTTGAAAGGGAGAAAGAAGAAGCAAAGGGCACAGACATCACGACCATCTCCACCGACTCCCGAGGTCTCTGCACCCCCACCGCCTCAAAAGAACTCCACACCTCCACGATTCAAGAAGAACTCAACACCTCCAAGGTTCCAAAAGAACTCAACACCTCCACGGCTTCGAAAGAGCTCAACGCCTCTACCCCCAGCATCATCAGCAGCTGCCACATCTTCATCAGCGCCATCAGCATATACAGCACCACCAGCAGCAGTGGATACAGCCGCAGCAGTGGCTGCTCCATCATCTTCAGCAGCAGCAGTGGATACAGCAGCAGCAGTGGCTGCTCCATCATCTTCAGCAGCAGCAGTGGATACAGCCGCAGCAGTGGCTGCTCCATCATCTTCAGCAGCAGCAGTGGCTGCTCCATCATCTTCAGCAGCAGCAGTGGCTGCTCCATCATCTTCACCAGCAGCAGTGGATACAGCAGCAGCAGTGGCTGCTCCATCATCTTCAGCAGCAGCAGTGGCTGCTCCGTCATCTTCAGCAGCACCTTCCCCACCTACAGCTCCCGTGAAGCTTCCCCCATTACTCCAGGCTACAGTCAGGCCTGTACTGGGGGTTCCTCAACCACCTCTGTCTCCACCAAAGACTCCCTCATCACCTTCCATGGACCCGGCTTGGGTCCCCCCCGCTACATCCACTCCATCTAGGGAAAATGAGGACGACCTTTCCCTTTGTTTTCTATCCCCGCCTTCACTACTGGATTTACCGGAACACTCTGCAGGCATGATAAGATCGGCGATGAAGACTATTCCTCTCACACCCACTGTAGCCAGATCAAGAGTCCTATCTAACATTCAAAACTACTCCCCATACGTACCTCCAAAGCCACCTAGGGCGTCCAACTCAAATTCTCCCACAAAATCCACCCGTCCCTCCTCTAACCCCATAAGTATTCCACCCCCCCCTCCTGCTCATTTAGCCCACCTCCCCCCCCCTAACTCAGCACCAAGAAACCCTCCACCTCCACTCCCCCCTCGTCCACCACCCAACTCAGCCTGCCCCTCCCCTAACCCATCACCAAAAACCCATCCACCTCCCTGCCCCCCTCGTTCAACACCCAAAAGCCACCCACCTCTCCATCCTCCTCCCCCGCCTTCCCCTACCCCTCTTTTCTCTAAACACTAGGATGCACAGGGTCTCTGCTTCGCAGCCACTGGCAGTCTAGTTAGAGGAGAGACCCGGCTGGGGCCCTGTCATGAAGCCACCTGTGCCATTCCCTTAGTGATAACACAAAGAATACATTACAGAAAAACATCTGGAATTAATCAGTCTAATCTGGAAAATCTAATTCTTGTTCCGTGTAAGAATCAGCCGACCGCAACCGCTGATACTGAAACTTTGAAACTTGCTACGCTTAATGTCAGATCTCTTTGTAACAAGTCTTTTTTAATCAATAATTTTATTTCTTCTCATAATCTTGATCTTATGTTCATGGCTGAAACTTGGCTTGACCAAAATTCAGAAAATGCAGTTTTAATAGAAGCATCACCACCAAATTTCAAGTTTGAATCTGAAATACGGGAAAACAAAAAAGGAGGAGGCTTAGCTGCCATTTTTAGAGACCACTTTGTCTCCCATAGAATGTCTCTTGGGAAGTTTTTGTCATTTGAATATGTGTCTTTTAAAATACAACAAAAACAATCTCCTCCAATACTCTTCGTTGTCCTATACAAGCCACCGCAGTCATGTCACAGTTTTATTGATCATTTTACCGAGTTGCTTTCAGTTGTATGCACAGATTTTGATAGTTTGGTTATTACAGGTGATTTTAATATTCATGTGGATAATGTTGATGACAGAAATGCAAATGAGCTGAGTTCTGTACTTGAATCCTTTGATCTCACTCAGCACGTAAGTGGCCCCACCCACAGCAGAGGGCACACTCTAGATCTGTTAGTTACAAAGGGGGTGATTATTTCAAATGTAAACGTGGTCGATGTTGCTCTTTCGGATCATTTCTGTGTTTTTTTTGACATGTGTTTCACTAACAAACCACCAGTGGACTCTGCAACTGTTCGAAGAAGGCGCATAAATGAAAATACGAGTGAACTATTTATGGAAATGATAAACTTTGAGAATGCATCGTATTCTACTGTAGATGAACTGTTTAACTCTGTCACCTCTAGTGTTTTGAATGTTCTGGATACCGTTGCCCCTGTGAAGGTTAAAATAGTGAAAAATAAGCAGAAGGCGCCGTGGGCTAAAGCAGACTCGGTCAGGGCACAAAAGAGAAAGTGCCGGAGGGCCGAGCGGAAGCGGCGCAAGTCCAACCTCCAGGTAGATTACGAGATCTTCAAAGATAAGTTGTGCGAGTTTAACCGGGTGCTACGTAGTACGAGAGAAAGGTATTTTTCTGAAATGATTGAAGGCTGCAGCAACAATCTGCGTGTTCTGTTCTCAACAGTTAATAGATTAACAAACCCCCCTGTTCAAATGCCATTAGAGCTTACTTCCAAACGTAAATGCAATGAGTTTGCTAATTTTTTCAATGACAAGGTTCAAGGCATCAAAAGCGCCATTGTCTCCAATCCACAGATAACCATCCAACAGCCAGAAAGGCTCTCTGAGCTAACTCACTTTGCACCTGTAAATGATAAAACTGTCCAAGAGATAATCTCCAGTTTGAGCTCCTCCACATGCAGCCTGGATGTACTACCCACTAGATTTCTGAAGTCTGTTCTGAGCAGTCTGTTACCTTCACTCACACAGATAGTAAACATGTCCCTTCATTCTGGAATATTCCCAAAGGCCCTGAAAACTGCAGTCATCAGGCCCCTGCTAAAAAAGAGCAGTCTGGATGCCACTGTACTTAACAACTATCGTCCCATCTCAAATCTGCCATTTATGGGGAAAGTCCTTGAGAAAGTTGTCTACCTACAGCTTACTAGATTTCTTATAATCAACAACTCATTTGATATGTTTCAGTCCGGCTTTAGACCCCACCACAGCACTGAGACTGCTCTCGTTAAGGTTACAAACGATATCCGGCTGAACACTGACGCAGGCAAAGTCTCAATCTTAATCTTGTTAGATCTAAGTGCTGCCTTTGACACCGTCGACCATGAGATCCTCTTACAGAGACTAGAGGACTGGGTTGGCGTCACTGGCACCGCCCTAAGTTGGTTTAGGTCTTACCTTGAAGACAGGAAGTACTTTGTGGAGATTGGAAACTGTGTCTCAGATCATATGGCCCTGACCTGTGGAGTCCCACAGGGGTCGATCCTGGGACCTCTTCTGTTCAATCTCTACATGCTGCCGTTAGGTCAGTTAATACGCAGAAACAAAGTTTCCTATCATAACTATGCAGACGACACTCAGATCTATGTCTCACTGACTGCAGGAGAACATGGACCAGTGGACTCACTCCTTCACTGTATCCAACAGATCAGTGAGTGGATGCAAAACAACTTCCTTCAGCTAAACGCAGACAAAACTGAAATGATTGTCTTTGGTCCCCAGAAACAAAGAGAGAGCGTCATCTGTCACCTACAGTCTCTCTCCCTAAAACCTTCAAACAAGGTCAGAAATCTAGGGGTAATACTGGACTCAGACTTAAATTTTAATAGCCACATCAAATCAGTAACATCAGCAGCTTTTTACCATCTAAAAAACATTGCCAGGATCAAAAACATAGTGTCTAAAGCAGACTTGGAGATTCTTATCCATGCATTTGTCTCCAGTAGGTTAGACTACTGCAATGGCCTGCTCACAGGTCTGTCCAAACAGGCTGTAAAACAGCTGCAGTACATTCAAAATGCAGCAGCTCGAGTCCTGACAAGAACCAGGAAGTACGACCACATTAGTCCAGTCCTCAGGTCTCTGCACTGGCTTCCTGTGGCTCAGAGAATAGACTTTAAAACAGCTCTGCTTGTGTACAAGTCTCTCCATAGCCTCGCACCAAAATATATTAGTGACATGTTAGTCCCATATGAACCAGCCCGGACTCTGAGGAGCACAGGGACTGGACTCCTGTTAGTGCCCAGAGTCAGAACTAAACATGGGGAGGCTGCTTTTCAGATTAATGCTGCTAAAATCTGGAACAGTCTTCCTGAAGATGTGAGACAGGCCTCCTCCCTGACAATGTTTAAAACCAGGTTAAAGACGGTTCTGTTTAACTGTGCATACAACTGAGGGATTTTATATTTTTATCTTTCTTTTTAATGTTCTGTGATAATTTATGATTTTAATGCTTTCTTGTTTTGTTCAGCACTTTGAATTGCCTTGTGTATGAATTGTGCTATATAAATAAACTTGCCTTGCCTTGCCTTGCCTCAAAGGCTGATCTGGAAACACGTTATTCCCACGGTAAAAGACGTAACTCGGACCCCCTCGATCTGTAAGTAGTGACGCTAACTCGCTGTATACTTCTGTAAACTAAATAACTAGGGTCTGATTGTGCATCGAGGACATAGGGCTCCATGTGACGGATTGTCATTGTTGGAAAAAGTTTATTCTTATGTATGAAATTACTAAGTACAGGTGATAAACGTCAAAAGCGTGATGCTACGTCACCGTGCGGGCGGGGGGAGGCGGGTGAGGGCGGGGGGAGGCGGGTGAGGGCGGGGGGAGGCGGGCTCACAGGCAGAGGAGCAGACTCTGGATCAGCTCGTTTGAGTCGAGGTGACGTCACCTCTATACAAGAGATGGCTCTAATCTCACAAGCTTTGATTGTTGTGTGGTGTATCATACACATTAATATCACACATGTGTATAGGATTGAGTGTGAAACATGAAGAAAAGCGTGATATAGGACCTTTAAGTAAAACACAAAAGCAAACACATTTTCTGTGCTCCTTAAGGTGGCCACCCTCCACAAAGGCCTGGACCGCTGTGCTGCTCTCCTCGGGGACATCCTCCAGTGTGAAAACACAGGTAAAAACATCCAAACTTACTGTTACTGACAAGCAGCAAGCTCAGAAACCCTACATCATACATTAACTGTCATTGTATGTGGCCCTCAGCGTCATCCAGCCAACTTCAGCTCTGCCAGTATTGTTATTCTGTGTGTGCACTTGTCTATAGTAGTAATTTTAAGAAATGTTTTGCATTTGTGTTTGCATGCCTCTAATTTCACTTATATCTTGTTTGCACCATGAGCCAAAGCCAAATCCTAGTTTGTGACGTCCTATTACTAACAATGGGAATAAAAAAAGATTGATTCTGAATAAAGGCCTGGTGTACGTTCTTTTAAAGATCAGAATCTGCAGAATCCGGTTGTTCACTTTATTAGTGAAGTTAGACGTTTGTTTTGGGCTGTGTCACAAAAATCCATATATGGAGTTAATGCAGCTGTGGTGAGATTCCTGCTTGGAAAATGTAATTATAGTTAAATTTAAATAAGTACATATGCTGCCTTTTTTTTTATTTTAAATCTCAAACTGCCCATATCCAGTCCTGTCCAAAATAAATTCTAAACGTATTGGTAAATTTCTCCATTGCAAGATCAATATATAATTGTATTTTATCTTTTAAAATAGTACACTCAGTCAAGTCTGAAGTAAAGTGGCCGTCTTTCTGCCGTTCGTGTAAGTGTGGAGGTTGTGTCACAGGTGCAGCTGCAAACCAAGCCAGCGCTGAGAAGGTCAACACCCCCAAACGCCGGCCGCACACTCCCACCGGGAAGAAGGCCATCAGGAGGTCCGTCTCCAAGTCGGGTCAGAATCACAGTTCAAGAGCGGATTGGTTTCTCTCCGTAAATGGCAGCCTATGTCAGCAATGTTCTCTTTCTCTCAGCTTCAAACCCCCGAAGTGTGCAGGCAGCCCTTAGGAAATCCATCCCCAAAGCCTCCGCAGCTTCCACCACTCCCCAGAGGTACCCCGCCCACTCCGGCATCAAGCTCCCTCCCCCTGTCAGGAGAGCATACCCCCTGAAAACCCCATCCAAGTCCCCCAGATCGCAACCTCCACAGGCCCCTATCACCCCTGATGCTCTGGACCATGTGCCCGAGAGGGACCAGGGGCCGGGGGCGGAGGCCGGGGGTACGATGAGGAGAGTGCAGTGTCTGCTGGGAGAACTGAGGAGTCTGATGGCTGGACAGGGTAAGAGGAAAGTGGTGAAAAGAGTGTGGTTGCATCCGAATTCTTAACAATACCTCCTTTCTTCTCTTACTTTGTCCTCTTTACATGGATATCTTTGACACTGCTCTGTTTGTAAGACTTTTAGACACGTCTTTCTAGACAAAAACACATCACAGACACCGTTCTTGTCTGAATGATAACATGCATCACATTTCTTAATAACTAAACCAGAGTTTGTGTTTGGTTGGCAGGAGGCTCGGCTCAGACGTACTTGCATTTGCTGGAGCAGACCGCGATCTCCGCTCTGACCCCCGGCACCAGCACGACCCAGACTGAGGCCACAGAGGCTCGGCTCCAGAGGTGATCCAGAAGGGTCTGAAGGACAGTGGTCATCCTGCTCACTGCAGTTCGATTCTGATTCTCTGATCTGCTGATTTAGATTCACTATAACACTTCTGTTTGTCTTTCCATTAAGTTGTTATTGAGAACTTGATTTTGGCGTGTTAGATTTCCAGCCGTGCGATACTTAAGCATAATCAGACCTCAGATTCCATACTTTATTCATGTGACGGGGACAACGCATTGAGACGTTTTTTCCCCACACTAATATTAAAAATGATAAGAAATATACATCTCATTCATTTAAACTTTGTCTCATTAACTCTTGCACTCATTACAAAGACACAGGTTTGTTTTGAACCAAAGCCCGAAGAACAACTTGTTTGTTTTCTGTGTTTTCAGGCAGATAAACGTTTTGAACGAACAACTGCAGGAGCAGGAGGCGACACAGAAGCTTCTGAACTCCAGAGGTACAAAGACTTTAGACATCTAAATCATTTCAATGTATTTGTTTATAGCCCTATATCACAACAGCAGTCGTCTCAAAGGACCATCCAGTTGTCGATTTAGCCAAAACAGATTAGAGAATCAAATAATTTACAACGCAAATATAATAAACACAGCCATTCGTCCATGGGGAGGGAGAGAGGGAGCAGGTCCAGGGCTGGAGGCCGTAGACCCAGGGCTGGAGGCCGTAGACCCAGGGCTGGAGGCCGTAGACCCAGGGCTGGAGGCCGTAGACCCAGGGCTGGAGGCCGTAGACCCAGGGCTGGAGGCCGTAGACCCAGGGCTGGAGGCCGTAGACCCAGGGCTGAACTACCCATGTCTGGGGTCAGTGTTGAATTTGCAGGGGCAGCTCGATGAGGCAGAGAAGCGGCTCACTCAGACCCAGAACTCCCTCCTGGAGACCGAGGACAAACTCCAGAGCAGAACAGAGGAAAGCTTGTCTCTGAAAAGTGGTAGGAAACATACATGCACTGGATTTTGATTTTTAATAATTGATAAATTGGTCTATTCTGCCTGGACAGAGCTGGAGAGCACCAGAGGAAGACTGAAGGCCTCTCTCCAGGACAAGTTCAACCTGGAAAGAAGACTTCAGGACCAGCAGCAGGAGGTCCAGACATTACAGCGGTAAGAACCAGAAAGAAGCAACGTTTTGCATTTGATTTGCTCTTTGGGACTAAATCTTTTTAAAAGTGTGCAACTGTCCAGTTTGTAACCGATTCTGCCTTTTTAAATTCAAACCTGAGGCCTCTTTCTTTCAGAATAATTGACAGTTTGGATTCCTCGACCCCCACGCTCCAGAAGCCACCAGGCCTCACCAAAGAGAACATCACTCAATACCTCCTGTCCCTGGAGCAGGGGCCTCAGCAGGGGCCTCAGCAGGGGCCTCAGCAGGGGCCAGAGCGTGGCCTGGACTTGGCTCTCAGCGACTGGAGCGACCGGTCCGAGTCCAGCTTCAACACCCGGGACGAGGCTGCGTTCCGGGACGGCCTGGCTGCTCTGGACGCCAGTATCGCCAGCCTCCAACAGACTCTGAAACTGGACTTGGTCAAAACGTGACTCATGGTTTTAGCGACTATTTGAATTGTTGAATGAGAATGTTTAATTATGTTTTAGCACATTATGATTAATAAACTTATGAAGTATTGATTAGAAGCTTATTTATCCCTTATTTTCATACATAGTTGTGATAAACTACTACTGTAGCCACAGCTGCCCTGGGGCACACTGACAGAAGCGAGGCAACCAGTCTGTGCCATCGGCCCCTCCCACCACCAACCATTCACACACACACACCAGACTCATTCTAGGCCTGTTATTGTTGCCTGTGGGTGAAGTGTCTTAACTTCACCCACTGAAGTTTAACATCTTCTGTTAAAAGATAACAAAGACTGTCAAGATCAACTTGAACTGTTTCCGTCTAATAAGATCAAAACTCTCAATCAGTGCAGCCAAGTTGTTCTTCCATTCAATGATCCTGTCCCATTTTCATATTGCATCACTGTGTGGGGCCAAGCTAACCAGTCCACCATGAAAGGTTTGAACTCTGTACAAGCAAGCTCTGAAAGTGCTCGATAAAAAGCCCACTTTGTGGCACCATTGCAAAGTTCAGGAAAAATATAATCTTTTAAGTTTTGATAATTTTATAACATACTTTTTTATTAAACTAGTCTTTAAATGTGTAAACAACCTCGCTCCCAATATTGCTGCAGGAATGATTGAGAAATGTGTAGCTCACAGGATGACCACTAGGGGCGCTGCCAATAGAGACTGCAGAGCAACAAGATGGAAAACATCATTTGGACAGACTGCGTTCGCAGTGAAAGGGCCACAGCTTTGGAACGCGTTACCTGCAGAACTGAAAGCCCTAACAGACTTGAAGGAGTTTAAAATTAAAGTCAAACTATGGCTCAAAAGGACCCAAACTTGTGAGCATAATGCAAGACTGTAATCATTTATTGTATTCTTTATTTTTTTTTTTTTTGTATTTTGTATTGTATTCTTGTTTATTATTTAGTATAACTTATTACTTATTTTTTTAATATAAGGATGTATGTATAATGTAAATGTGATGTATTTCTAGGTTTTAGGGACCAGGTCTGCAAACTAGCTGTTAGCTATACGGCCTATGAACACAGCATCGGTTCCTGTAACAATGCTTCTTGTTCTGTCCCTACCAAATAAACAAATAATAATAACGGTTTACTTTACAGCTGCCCCACTGTGGTCTCCCATCACAGCACTAACCAGGCCCTGCCCTGCTGAGCTTCAGAGCTCTGATCTGGCTTTCACACAGGAGGTGCAACTCAAATGTATTACATCACTTCACAAATGTCAAGGTCAAAGGTTAGAAATGCTGTTTTTAATATACAAAAGGTACAAACTTCTACAAAACGACAACATTGAAACATCAGCACCTGTGTAAGAAGCCTATACACCTGTGTACGAGGCCCCTGCACCCGTGTACGAGGCCCCTGCACCCGTGTACGAGGCCCCTGCACCAGTGTGCGAGGCCCCTGCACCCGTGTGATGATAGTGCAAAAAGACAGTCATACATGTCATAAAAGATCGTGTCAAACAAATTTTACAAAACTTGGATCAAAATCAAGCACTTTCCTTGAATTGGACTCACTGCAGCGACTTCAGGATCGGTTGGAAAAACAATTGAACAAACTTGAACATTTCTGAATGTTTTTGGTTCCTCAGACATTTCAGAACAGCCTGAATCCAGTCAAAACAGTTTTACAATCGTGGTTTTCGGCGCCGGGACAAACCTGGTGAACAAAAGTGGCATATCTGCTTTAAGTAAACATGAAAATATCCAGGATTCAAACTAAATTATAACTTGTGTCCCTTTTACTACGTACTCGTTAAAGATTATCTCCAAATAGGACCACAAACGCCTGTCTTTCCCTCATTAGAATACATTTGACATCCTGAGAGCTGATTGGCTGAGAGAGGGGTGGGGCTAAAATACTAGTGACAGAAGCAAAGTGTTTTAGAGCCAGGAGTTAGTTTGATTGGAAAGTTTGGTTTCCTAGCTTTAATATTTCCCAACACTTTGATTACGAGTGCATTCTCGAGTGCATGCTACCCAAAGGACCACGTGTAACGGCCGTGACATCATAGCGGCGCGACCAGCTCCTCTGCCGTGTCCCCGTAGCCGTGGTAGTGTCCGTACAGCAGGATACTACCCTCCCCTCCGCCGCACAGCTCCCAGGGGCCCACACGGTCCGGGCCCCAGCGATCCGGGCTGCCGTCCCCCACGTGCAGAGAGCCACAGCTTTGGGATTCAGGCGACGGAAAGACTGGGCTCTCATCTGGGAACAAATAAGTGAGGATTCAATAACACAAATGAGAGACACTTATAGAAGGTTGTGACGAGTGTAGAAAATCTGAAAAATATTAAACCAAACATTCAATGGATTCATTTTTTTGCAAATCAACCTTTTCACTTTTAACCATGTTTCAACATTGCTCCTCATCAGTCATAGACCTGGAGTTGATTTTAGATCCAGCCATGCTTAATAAGTACCACAAACTGTCACTGAGATAGTTTACTTTTCAATGTAACCCATAGAGCCAAACTTCGTCCATGACCACTTCTCTATTGGGCTGCATTGAGCTAGCGGGTTAGCGTTGTCCATATAAAGTCAATGATCAAAAGTACATGTAGTGTAAAGTATTTACACATTTATACATGGTTTAAAAGGGCCATACACACACTAGAGCTGCTCACCTGGAAGAGATCCACAGTCCATGCAGACGTCCTGCTGCTGCTGCTGCTGCTGCTGCTGATGCTCCTGCTCCTGCTGCTGCTGCTCCTGCTGCTGCTGCTCCTGCTCCTGCTGCTGCTGCTGCTGCTGCTCCTGCTCCTGCTGCTCCTGCTGCTGATGCTCCTGCTCCTGCTGCTGCTGCTGCTGATCCTCTGCAGAGCAAAAAACACACTGAGCCTCCTGAACACTCTTTTCCCAAAGTATCAGATTCAGATGTAGTTTATTTGCAGTAAAACCACATTGGAAGACATTTGTAAAAGTCCCCAGTGTGCACAAGACAAGTACACAACTAAACAAGGTCAAAAGTACAGGAAGAAAACATGTTAAAATACAAGAAAAGTCACTGTGAAATGAACAAAAACGGTGCTTTTACCGTCCGCCTTGGCCCTCTTCTTGCGGCTGTGCTCCTGTCCTCCCAGCAGCCTCTTCCTGCTGCCCTGGCTCTGACCACCAGGGGCGCCGTGGAGCTGCAGGAGGCTGGAGATGAGCTGGAAGCAGTCAGCAAAGCCCTGAGCCCGAGCCAGGTCCGCTGCGGTCTGTCCACACGCGTTCTTCACACTGTCAGAGGCCAGAGCTGCATCAGCACTTTCTATTTTGGCTTTAGATGTTGCAGATAAACATCATCAAAAGCCAAGAATGCACATTTGGTTTAGTTTCTGACAATTGCCATGCCTACAGAAACTAAAGCTTACAGTGGCTTGCAAAATACTAATACCAACTTTTGCACATTTTGTTAAGTTATAAATGTGTCCTCTGCATTTGACCCATCCTTCATAGTCTCTAGGCCTCGGTCAGAAGCAGTGGTCGGGTTAGGGTTAGTGTTGGAGGTTTTAGTGGTAGTGGAAACTGGAGCACACGGAGGAAACCTACGCAGACACAGGGAGAACTCCATACAGAAAAGCTTGGTTCTGTCCGGGATTCGAACCCAGGATCAGGAGAAGCAAGAGTTCTAACCACTCAGCCCCCGTAGTCATGTTTACATCCAGAGATTTGTATTTTGGATTTTTTTTGAAAGACCACAACAAAGAACCAGACGACAGAAGTGAAAGCAAAACCATGCATGATTTGGTGAAGGAAACAAAACTTCAAACTGTGGCTTTGACATTGCTTTAAACTCCTTCTTCTACGACTGTGGCTTTGACAAAGGTAAATGTAGAACTATTCTTAAGTTTCCTTTGTGAATCATTAGGCTTAAATAATATTACTGTTGATGAAAGTCTCCCATCATCACCGTCCTTAGACCCTAAACCGTTTCTAAAATATTTATCAAAGGCTTTAATAATGCTTTATAGGAGAGCTTTTCTGTCTGTGGCCGTAAACGTGACTGAATGTGCTTAAGTTCCCAGTTGTATTAATACTTTTGCGTGCCACTGCCATAGGCCACTGCATAGATTCAGTTCTGCTGCCCTCTACTGCCCGCCGGAGCAAGTTATCATTGTGCGCAAAACCGTCGTTGAGGTCTGAGCTGTGGTATTGTGCGCTTGACGCTTAGCCTGAGATTAAGACCCTAACTGTGCGGGGATCAATAGTGTATGATTACTATATAAAACAGCCTACAGGAGGACGTTATCATTGTTGGTACGATTTTATGTCTGTAGTTTCTAAAAACGCAACGTTTGTAAAATACAAGTGTTGGGTCATAGACGACCACTTCAGTTAGACTAGTTAATCAGATAATAGTTTGAGCACAGACATGTAATCCTCATTTGGAAATAGTTCAATGAGTTTAAAAAGTAAAAAAAGGTGTCTCCTCGTAAACGAGTTTTGCTGCAGCGACTCCGGGTAAATCCAATTTCTAAATTCAACCTTACCCTTCACCTCTTTCTTATTTCATATCTCATTGGAAGCAAAACATTACTCTAAGTGCAATTTTAAATTATCTTAAAATGTATTATAGGGTATGTTAGCTGTTAGCCAAAATGTAGCTGCCTTAGGCATAAAATAACAATGTAAAGTGAGCTTTCTGATGAATTTGTGATGCAGACATCTTTGGGCGCACAAGCGCCCAATTGAGCTTCCTCACATTCAAGCTGTGTGGTTGGACGCGATTAAGACCAGATTTTGGCTTTCAAAAACAACATTTATAGCCATACTCTTAAATGTAAACATTTTGATTGTAAATTAAAATATTTGAACTTTTTAAATCAGAGCCCACAAACATCCAAGATACAGTACATGCAACAAACAAGACCGCAGAACAGGGTATTGTTTATCTCCAATATATACTATTGCCAACACTTGTTGATTACTCTGACATAAGTGTGTAATTTGATTCAAAGTTGGGCCACTTGATAGTATTACAGATTTTATTGAGTGTGAATGTGTTACTCCAGCTTCTATAACTGTGAGATTAGAGTTGGTATGGGTATTGTCCACCTGCCTGTGCACATATAGTTCTCTGCCACATTATAAAACATGCGCAAAGTGAGAAAATCCAATTGATGAAAATCACGCAGCTACGCACTTGGGGCCACAGCTTCAGCTCATGATTTATTAGTGTAAGCACAGCCGTATTTATCCATAGGAAAACACATTGGGTAGATTCATGGATATACCAGAGAATGATGAGAATAAACATTGAAGAACAATTTTCCAGAGCTTATCTGCATTGTTTCACTCGAGCTCTCACATTGGGACAAGGACAATCATAGCAAATGTGTTTTCAAATGAAGTAATCTTATTGCAGCATATAGGTTAATTCATATCATTAACTATTTCAAAGAAGGGAATACAACTAAAGGGTCGGCAACAAAGCACATAGGTATTTAATTGCACAGCCTAGCATCTATTCAGAGGCTCATTAATTCAAGGTGTTTTTTAAGTTACGAAGGCATGTGACAGCTTTTGTTTGGACAATGTCTTCAAATGAAACAATGTTGGGTGTAAGACGTCTGCAGCCTGGATTAAACAGGAGAAATGATGAAGCGCATGCAAGAAAGATAGCTCATGAAGCAACACAACCCATGCAAGGTCACAGAACAAGAAAGAAACAATACTAGAAAAATAAATCAGTGGTCTTGTATTTCTTCCATTTTCTAATACTGGCTCCACAGTTGATTTCTTCACATATCATCAGCGCATCCCTCTGCAGCTTATCAGTCTTCCAGCCTGGTGCAGGTCTACACTCACAACCTGGGTCTGATGGCCACAGTGGAGTTTGGAGTGTGACTGTATGAGTTTTGGACAGGCATAGTCTTTCATACTGAATAAAACAAATTCAAACTGTGCCATAAATACGAGTGGAGGACAGAGGAGCCACATAAGAAGTGGTGACAGGTTGTGAGAGCCAGAAATCTCTACTTGTTATGTAGGTGACCACTATTTTTCCACATAATTTTCAAACAAATGAATTGAATATTGGTTTTCTGGATTGTATATTCTTTTAAACACATACTGTATGTGATTTACAATTCAAAGGCTTCAGCTAATACAACGTGTTATCAACAGTAGATTCTCTGGCCCGTGACTATCTCTGGCAACTTTGAGCTCATACCCATTCATGACCGTTGCTCTCCAACTTTGAGATGCAGGAGTCTGCCCAAAAGGACTGCTTTAATGGAACAGTGACATTTACTCTGTTTTCCTGCCAAATAATGAGACATTTAACATGAGACGTTTCAGGTTAATTGCCTTGCAAACGCAAATGGCAGCCAGGGTTCCAATAGGACCCTCTTCATTCAACATGCGGATCTATGAATATATACTCCAGGTAGATTACGAGATCTTCAAAGATAAGTTGTGCGAGTTTAACCGGGTGCTACGTTAGTACGAGAGAAAGGTATTTTTCTGAAATGATTGAAGGCTGCAGCAACAATCTGCGTGTTCTGTTCTCAACAGTTAATAGATTAACAAACCCCCCTGTTCAAATGCCATTAGAGCTTACTTCCAAACGTAAATGCAATGAGTTTGCTAATTTTTTCAATGACAAGGTTCAAGGCATCAAAAGCGCCATTGTCTCCAATCCACAGATAACCATCCAACAGCCAGAAAGGCTCTCTGAGCTAACTCACTTTGCACCTGTAAATGATAAAACTGTCCAAGAGATAATCTCCAGTTTGAGCTCCTCCACATGCAGCCTGGATGTACTACCCACTAGATTTCTGAAGTCTGTTCTGAGCAGTCTGTTACCTTCACTCACACAGATAGTAAACATGTCCCTTCATTCTGGAATATTCCCAAAGGCCCTGAAAACTGCAGTCATCAGGCCCCTGCTAAAAAAGAGCAGTCTGGATGCCACTGTACTTAACAACTATCGTCCCATCTCAAATCTGCCATTTATGGGGAAAGTCCTTGAGAAAGTTGTCTACCTACAGCTTACTAGATTTCTTATAATCAACAACTCATTTGATATGTTTCAGTCCGGCTTTAGACCCCACCACAGCACTGAGACTGCTCTCGTTAAGGTTACAAACGATATCCGGCTGAACACTGACGCAGGCAAAGTCTCAATCTTAATCTTGTTAGATCTAAGTGCTGCCTTTGACACCGTCGACCATGAGATCCTCTTACAGAGACTAGAGGACTGGGTTGGCGTCACTGGCACCGCCCTAAGTTGGTTTAGGTCTTACCTTGAAGACAGGAAGTACTTTGTGGAGATTGGAAACTGTGTCTCAGATCATATGGCCCTGACCTGTGGAGTCCCACAGGGGTCGATCCTGGGACCTCTTCTGTTCAATCTCTACATGCTGCCGTTAGGTCAGTTAATACGCAGAAACAAAGTTTCCTATCATAACTATGCAGACGACACTCAGATTCTATGTCTCACTGACTGCAGGAGAACATGGACCAGTGGACTCACTCCTTCACTGTATCCAACAGATCAGTGAGTGGATGCAAAACAACTTCCTTCAGCTAAACGCAGACAAAACTGAAATGATTGTCTTTGGTCCCCAGAAACAAAGAGAGAGCGTCATCTGTCACCTACAGTCTCTCTCCCTAAAACCTTCAAACAAGGTCAGAAATCTAGGGGTAATACTGGACTCAGACTTAAATTTTAATAGCCACATCAAATCAGTAACATCAGCAGCTTTTTACCATCTAAAAAACATTGCCAGGATCAAAAACATAGTGTCTAAAGCAGACTTGGAGATTCTTATCCATGCATTTGTCTCCAGTAGGTTAGACTACTGCAATGGCCTGCTCACAGGTCTGTCCAAACAGGCTGTAAAACAGCTGCAGTACATTCAAAATGCAGCAGCTCGAGTCCTGACAAGAACCAGGAAGTACGACCACATTAGTCCAGTCCTCAGGTCTCTGCACTGGCTTCCTGTGGCTCAGAGAATAGACTTTAAAACAGCTCTGCTTGTGTACAAGTCTCTCCATAGCCTCGCACCAAAATATATTAGTGACATGTTAGTCCCATATGAACCAGCCCGGACTCTGAGGAGCACAGGGACTGGACTCCTGTTAGTGCCCAGAGTCAGAACTAAACATGGGGAGGCTGCTTTTCAGATTAATGCTGCTAAAATCTGGAACAGTCTTCCTGAAGATGTGAGACAGGCCTCCTCTCTAACAATGTTTAAAACCAGGTTAAAGACGGTTCTGTTTAACTGTGCATACAACTGAGGGATTTTATATTTTTATCTTTCTTTTTAATGTTCTGTGATAATTTATGATTTTAATGCTTTCTTGTTTTGTCCAGCACTTTGAATTGCCTTGTGTATGAATTGTGCTATATAAATAAACTTGCCTTGCCTTGCCTTGTTGTTTCTTATATGACTGGAGATTAGCATCACAATTGACAGTTTAAGATTTACTTGATAGAACAATACTATTTTTTCCCATTTTGAAAACTCTCACCACTTTTTAAACAATTTATCTTCAGCAAATACATTCTCAAAACCTGGGAATGTTCATGCTGCTTTATAAAAATCCTTTAGAACGAGGAGCGACTGTAAAGACATAGACCAGGGCTGCATTATATTAAAAAAAAAAATATTGCGATATTGGTGCGTGTAATATGCATTTAGAAAATATGTGCAATAAATAAAATGATATATATATTTTTTTTACATTTTTTTTTCCTTTATTAAAGACAACAAAACAGACAGACATCAACATTCAACAAATACAGCAAACAAACAAAAAGGATATAAAGAGATGCATTTGAATGTCATTAATGTTTTTGTTATTTGTCTCTTGCGTTTCAAAACAGATTCCAATTTTAGGTGAAAGAAAAAAATATTGCAATAATATCGTTATTGCAATACTAAACACTCATATCGAATATCACACTAATTTCCAAAATCGTGCAGCCCTAACCCAGACCTAAGATTCCAGAGACTGAAGCTTGTAGTTTGTTAGCTTTGAGTTGGCTGCTTTATGTTGGATTATTATCTTGTCTTTTACACATAAAAAGCAGCAATCGTTGAGCGTCATTGTGTAAACCACCATTGCCTTTTTCCTTCATCGTTCAGTTTCACTCGACCTGCGTCATCGTGCAGAATGACACGATTGGCTTTGAACTAGGGGTATGTGACAGGCCGCACCTTTGCTACCAGCAAATAATAATGATATTTAGTCGTTATCCAGGCAAACATGGTCATGCGATATCAAAACATCTGTAAGCGTCTGCCCTTATTCATGTACAGCAGGCATGTCAAACTCAGGCCAAGACCGTTTTTAGTGGCCTCTGAAATGATTTTTAATTATCGTTATCACAGTAACTTTCAGCATTGATGTTATTGGAATAAATGCACACACAAGACATTTCCTTCACACAAACATAATGTAAAAACAATGGCGTTGACGTGATGTGGCGCATAATCAATCCACTGGAACAGACTGAAATACATTTTTTTTGTGGATTACCCAAATAATTAAATTCATCAATTCTACTCCAAAACTATTTATGCTGTGGTTTTTGAAAGTGCTCTGAAAGTGGAAGAACTGTTGTTGGGTTCTTCTGGTGCAGTACCAGGGTTTGACAACTAATGAGAAGGACCCAATCCAGTTTTTATGATAGATCCATACCTTATCCTTGCTTTGGACTCGCACATACACCTACTCCTGTGTTGGGGACTTCTTAATAACCTCACAACTGACAAGCGTATAGGCCTTGAGTTCACCTGCAGACAAGCTTTCTAGCTACTGCACGTAACCACGAGTGAGAGAGCAGCCCCCGGTCTGTGGAAGAGGCGCCGTTATTTTTAAGGTGTTTGTTTTGCACAGTGTGGAACCATAGGCCAGACAGGAGATGTCATCATTCTACTTGAGCGCCGTATATTTATGAGTTGGCCAGCTCATGTTCTATTTATATCTCACAGAAGAAGTCCCAGAGGACCATCGCTGCAGGCAGGGTCCGTGGGTGCTGAGCTGAGGAGAGGAGAGAACAGGGAGGATGGATAGAGATGTGCACCCGGCCAGTTTTAGGCTGCACTGACAATTACTAAGTTCACATTGACACACATACAGGGCAGCCACCTGGACAAATGGATAATGCAGCATCAGGGGCAAACAATATAAGTTAAATGCATGGAATTTGATTAAAGTGTATCAATATATCATGGAAATATGGGTGTTTCACTTGGTTATGCCGTAGGGCTGGGGGAAATTGGATGACAAATATTCCTCCATTCATTTCTTCTGCTTTACTGGGAGCCAATTTGAAAAGGCCTTTGTCGATCATCGCTGAGTCCTCTTTGTCCCCAACTATAAAAATAAATCATCATTGTTTGTCTGTTGTTGAATGTGCCTTTTATCAAATGTATTCCTCCAAAGTTTGAACTCCTCTTGAACCACATTTTCACTCACCATCATATTTTCACATTTATGTGACCAGCCAAATGTAAAATGTTGGTTTGAAACAAAAACTTTGAAAAAATAACTTTCCGTGTATAAATAGCTTTTCAAAACCTCATTTCACATTCACATAACACAATCTCATAATTGAATAATGATTTGAATTGATGTTTGGTTCTTTGGGCCTAGTCACGGATATGGGGAAAGTAGTATTTATTTTCATGGATTACTTCACATTTATTATTCATGAGCGGGCGCAGTGACGCATCTTTAAGTTCTGCATAACGCACCTGTGACTGTAACATGCAATTAACAGACAAACCAAGCCATCGTCAGGAGCACACAGCCCGTTGGTATGTACAAAGCTCATAAAACACCCAACGCAGTAACGTAGCGAAGTACCAGCATTGTTTAGGTCAGTGTGTGTGGCTCATCCGCGGCACTTTGTGCACCGAGGTGAAGTTGGCCGAACGTTTGATATTCGCAAGGGACCGTCTGCAAATTGCAAGAGGTCAAAACGACTAATAAAGACTAAAAATCAACAAAGATATTTTTCCCAGAATTGATGGGTGTAGTAGCTCCCATTTAATGATAGCTAGCTACTACAGCCAAACTTTTGGGAAAAATATGGTTTTCCCCTTCACAGTAACAAAAATGAAATTGGAAAAATTTACTAAAAATCAACAAAGACAGTTTTCCCAGTTTTGATGGGTGTAGTAGCTCCCAATGAACAATAGCTAGCTACTACAGGCAAGAATTTGGGAAAAATATTGTTTTCCCCTTCACAGTAACAAAAATGAAATTGAAAAAATTTACTAAAAATCAACAAAGACAGTTTTCCCAGTTTTGATGGGTGTAGTAGCTCCATTTGAGCAATAGCTAGCTACTACAGGCAAGAATTTGGGAAAAATATGATTTTCCCCTTCACAGTAACGAAAATGAAATTGGAAAAATTTACTAAAAATCAACAAAGACAGTTTTCCCAGTTTTGATGGATGTAGTAGCTCCCAATGAACAATAGCTAGCTACTACAGGCAAGAATTTGGGAAAAATATTGTTTTCCCCTTCACAGTAACGAAAATGAAATTGGAAAAATTTACTAAAAATTAACAAAGACATTTTTCCCAGATTTGATGGGTGTAGTAGCTCCATTTGAGCAATAGCTAGCTACTACAGGCAAGAATTTGGGAAAAATATGGTTTTCCCCTTCACAGTAAAAAAAATGAAATTGGAAAAATTCACTAAAAATCAACAAAGATATTTTTCCCAAATTTGATGGGTGTAGTAGCTCCCATTCAATGATAGCTAGCTACTACAGCCAAACCTTTGGGAAAAATATGGTTTTCCCCTTCACAGTAACGAAACTGAAACTGGAAAAATGTACTAAAAATCAACAAGACTTTTCCCCCAGATTTGATGGGTGTAGTAGCTCCATTTGAGCAATAGCTAGCTACTACAGGCAAGAATTTGGGAAAAATATTGTTTTCCCCTTCACAGTAACGAAACTGAAACTGGAAAAATGTACTAAAAATCAACAAAGACTTTTCCCCCAGATTTGATGGGTGTAGTAGCTCCCATTCAATGATAGCTAGCTACTACAGCCAAACTTTTGGGAAACATGTTTTCCCCTTCACAGTAACGAAAATGAAATTGGAAAAATTTACTAAAAATCAACAAAGACAGTTTTCCCAGTTTTGATGGGTTTAGTAGCTCCATTTGAGCAATAGCTAGCTACTACAGGCAAGAATTTGGGAAAAATATGGTTTTCCCCTTCACAGTAAAAAAAATGAAATTGGAAAAATTCACTAAAAATCAACAAAGATATTTTTCCCAAATTTGATGGGTGTAGTAGCTCCCATTCAATGATAGCTAGCTACTACAGCCAAACCTTTGGGAAAAATATGGTTTTCCCCTTCACAGTAACAAAAATGAAATTGGAAAAATTCACTAAAAATCAACAAAGATATTTTTCCCAGTTTTGATGGGTGTAGTAGCTCCCATTCAATGATAGCTAGCTACTACAGGCAAGAATTTGGGGAAACAAATGTTTTCCCCTTCACAGTAGGAATAATGATATTGGCCTGACACACTGTATTACAGACTATATCCTCTTCTGTGTGAATAACCCTGTACCAACTAAGAAGGTACGGTGTTTTTCTAACAACCACCCATGGATGACCTCTGAGCTTAAAGCCCTCCTGAACCTCAAGAAAAGGGCTTTCATCTCAGGGGACAAAGAGGAGCAGAAGAGGATCCAGCACGAGCTCTAGTGGAGGATCAGGAGGGCCAAGAGGGAATATGGGAAAAAGCTGGAGCAGAAGCTGGCCCAGGGAAACGCCCGTGACGTGTGGAGAGGCCTAAAGAACATCTCTTTCTGTGGACAAAGGGCCAGCGGGACAGATGAATTTAACCAATTCTTCAACCGGTTTGATTCTCCCCCCTCTCCATCTGCCCCCCCCTCCCGCCCCCACCTCTTCAAACGTCCCCAGCCCAGTGGACACTGCCTTTGGCTGCCCTGGACACTGCCTTTGGCTGCCCTGGGCCCTCCTGCCCCCACATCCCCGCCCCCCACCTCTGAAAATACACCCCAGTCTTCCCCCCTCTCCATCACACCGGACCCGGTGAAGAGTCAGCTACAGCGACTGAAGCAGAGGAAATCCGCAGGACCGGACGGGATCAGTCCCAGGCTGCTGAGGACCTGTGCAGACCAGCTCTCTGGGGTCCTCAGCTACATGTAAAACCTGAGCCTCAGCCTGCAGAAGGTCCCTGTCCTGTGAAAGACCTCCTGTGTGATCCCGGTTCCTAAAACACAGCACGCCAAGGAACCGGCTCACTACAGTCCAGTCGCACTGACCTCCCACCTGACGAAGACCATGGAGCGGCTCATCCTCACCCATCTCCGCTCCGTGGTCAGCCCCACCCTGGACCCGCTGCAGTTCGTCTACAGGCCCAACATCGGAGTAGAGGACGCCGTCATCCCTGCCGGGAGCGCTGTGAGGGTCATGTTCTTCGACTTCTCCAGTGCTTTCAACACCATCAGACCGGCACTGCTGCGGGGGAAGATGGAGGACGCGGGAGTGGACAGTAGCCTCACAGCATGGACCATCAACTACCTCTCGGACCGACCACAGTACGTGCGGCTGCGCAGCTGTGAGTCTGAGGTGGTAGTCTGCAGCACTGGGGTCCCTCAGGGCACTGTCCTCTCACCGTTTCTCTTCACCATCTACACCTCAGACTTCACACACGACACACACAGCTGTCACCTGCAGAAGTTCTCCGACGACTCCGCCATCGAGGGCTGTGTGTCTGAGGGGAACGAACTGGAATATCGGTAGGTTATCACAGACTTTGTCGACTGGTGTGAGCGCAACCACTTGTGCTTGAACACCAGTAAGACCAAGGAGATGGTGATCGATTTCAGGAGGAAACCACTTTCCCACACGCCTCTGAACATCCAGGGGGAGGACATTGAGCTGGTGGACAGCTTCAAGTACCTGGGTGTTCACATTAACAATTAACTGGACTGGTCCCATAATAAAAACGCCCTGCACAAGAAGAGCCAAAGTCGCCTCTTTCTTCTGAGGAGGCTGAGGTCCTTCTGAGGGGGCTGAGGTCCTTCGGAGTGAGCTGGCCTCTGCTTAGGACCTTTTATGACTCTGTGGTAGCATCTGCCATTTACTACGCTGCCGTGTGCTGGGCCCCGGGCAGCACAGAGCGGGACAGAAACAGACTGAACAAGCTGGTCAGGAGGGCCAGCTCCACTCTGGGCTGCTCCCTGGACTCTGTGGAGGAGGTGAGGGACAGGAGGGTCTAGTCAAAGTCACCTCCATCATGAACAATACCTCCCACCCACTGCACAGGACTGTAGAGGAGCTGAGGAGCTCCTTCAGTGGAAGACTGAGACACCCTCAGTGTAGGAAGGAGCGCTACCGCAGGGCCTTTATCCCCACTGCTGTCAGACTGTACAATAAGTCACTTTAAGTCACTGTATAAGACTGAAAAAAAAAACCCATGTGGTCAGATGAAACCAAAGTACAACTGTTTGGTATAAACTCAACTCGTCGTGTTTGGAGGAAGAACAATACTGAGTTGCATCCCAAGAACACCATACCTACTGTGAAGCATGGGGGTGGAAACGTCATGCTTTGGGGCTGTTTTTCTGCTAAGGGGACACGAAGACTGATATGTGTTAAGGAAAGAATGAATGGGGCCATGTATTGTGAGATTTTGAGCCAAAACCTCCTTCCATCAGTGAGAG